AATTCGCGCAATGTTCGATTTGGTTGTAATAAAATATTTAGGTTTATATTTGTGCAAAATCCCCATTCAAAACTTGTATCCCCCCTCCCATAATAATTGTTGTAATAGTTTAGTTTATTTTACGCAATTTATTACTTTCATATACCATGTTTAGTAAATTAGGGTTTGCATGACAAGAACAAAAACAAAACAAATAGAAAACCCTAAATGCAAGACAAAAGCATGAAAATGACACACTTTGCACACAAGCACCCTTAGGGTTTCTCCCACTTGGTTGCCTAGATTAAAATGGCCATGTTACGCACGCGAAGTATCTTGGCAAAACAATACAATTATAAGATCATAGTCCCTCAATGACGCTATACAAAGGTTGTCTAAAACAAAATGATCTTGGTCCCTCAAAAATGCTAAGATACTTGGCAACATTGCTATCATGGTCATACGACGACCCACGCCTGTCCCGTTAACATCCAAAGATAGGGTTGCTTACCAAATCAATGGTAAGTCAACAATGTCAAAGGAATAAAAATGCACAAGAAAGACATTTGAGTAGGTAGATAGCTTCTAGTTACTTGTTCCATTTCAAAATAATCCTTGCTATTTTCAAAAACAAACACACATACATTTCAAAACATCTTACAAAACATTGAAAACATTTTCAAAAGACAAACATCTTTGTATACATTCTTACGAACGAGAATCATTACAAAGGTTGCCTAAACGATGGCCTCTTTTCAAAATAATTTTAAAATCACACCAAACACCATTTCAAACAAAGCAAAACAAGTGATCTAAGCAAGTAACTAAGAGCCCATGGAAAACCATGGATGAAAAGGGTGCTAACACCTTTCCTTTTCATAATCTACCCCCCGAACTCAAGAAAACATCTCAAAGGTCTTTCCTGTGCTTTTTTATCTTTCCTTTTGGATAAAATAAAAGTCGGTGGCGACTCTTGCTAACCGCGACATTTGCGATAAAACACAAAACCTCAAGCCAGTTCTCCCACCGTATCACACTTAGCCTCATGATGTAGAGTATTAAAGGAATTTAGTAATTAAATATAAGACATATCATCAACATAGTCATATTTAGAGTGACTTACATTCTTTTTCTTTTTGTGATGCACCATAAGACACAATTTTTCTTTTTCTTCTTCATCACTAGAGTCATCTTTTCTTGATGAATCATTATCACTATCCCAAGCAATGTAAGCTCTTCTAGCTTTGTTCGGCTTCTTTTGAAACTTGTTTCTTACTTTTTCTTTCTTGAACAAGGGACAATCTGGTTTATAATGACCGGGTTTCCCATAATTATAACAAGATCCTTTTGACTTATCTCCCTTGCCTTCAAAAGGTTTATTTGGCTTAGCTTGCCTTCTATATTCAATGAAATTCTTGCCCGAATGTTGAATTTCATTCTTCCGAAGATATCTATTGTAATTCCTTACAAATATACCCAAATCTTCATCCAGACTCTCATCTCCATCACTTGAGTCACTTCCACTCGATTCTATGGTGGAAGACTTCGAACTTGAATCCCTTAACACGATGGACTTCTTCTTCGTGTCCCTCACCTTTTCTTTCTTCTCTTTCTTTTCATGCTTATTAAGATTTATGAGCTCTTGCTCATGTTCTTGAAGCTTACCAAACAATGTTGTAATATCCAATGTAGTTAGATCATTGGCTTCCTTGATAGCCGTGACCTTAGGTTGCCATTCCCTGTTAAGACATCTCAAAATCTTATTAATAGTAACAACATTGAAAGTAATATGACCAAGTGCGTGTAAGCGATTTATTATGTGAAAAAATCTCTTTTGCATGTTCACAATGGTTTCACCATGCTTCATGTGAAAGAGATCAAACTCTTGAGTTAATGCGCTAATCCTTGCTAGTTTGACATCGTTTATATCCTCATGGGTAACTTGTAAAGCATCCCACACTGCCTTAGTGGTAGCACAATGCGAGATACGAAAGTATTCATCAACTCTAAGAGCTGATAGGAGCATATTTTTAGCTTTCCAGTCATAAGCATAGTTTTCTCATCTTTTTCATCCCATTGTGCTTCCAGTTTGGGTAGAACGACACCCACATTGTTTAACATAGTTATGGCCATATGGCCTTCTTCTATGACTTTCCAAATTTTTATATCAATAGAATTGATATGCACACACATACAATCTTTCCAATAGCTATAGTTTTCACCGGTGAAAATAGGCGCTCTATTATACACCCCTTTTGGATCGTTCTCCATTGTCTAAAGAGTTATACGTGAAGCACTAGATGAACCAGTGCTCTGATACCACTTGTCAGACAATAGGACGTATCTAGAAGGGGGGCAGGGGGGGGGGGGGGGGTTGAATAGATACCTTGATTTTTAAAATCAGTTTTTAAGAAAAACTTGAAGCGCAGTGAAAGCTACCCGGATACACTCGTCTAAAATGATCCTCTATTGAAAAGATCGGATATGCGAAAAACCGAATAGAATGAATCAATGAGAATTATTAACACTTAAATCAATTATGATTGATCACTTATACTCTTTAACTATTGTCAATTACTTTCAATGAAATATTGAGAAGAAAATACATAAATTTGTATTTTTGGACTTTTATCGAACACTTGGTGTGCTTAATTTCACCAAGTTCAATCTACCTTAACCTGTAGTGTTGAAATCAATTATAGCAATCAAAATGATTACTATAGTTTTTAGTAACAATTTTATTGCACTACAAACCAGGACAATTGGAACCACAAGACCAAATTTTCAGATTATTGCAAATAAACGATAAAGAGTGGAAAGAAAAACGACACGCGATTTGTTAAAGCAAATCCCTTTGTCGTCCTCGCGTGGGATACGTCTACCCCTAATTCTAGAATTTAGAATTAGGATAGTTGCTATTATAATTGCAAAGTTTATACAAGAGATAGAAAATAGTCACCACAATTCAAACCCAATATGTTAAATTGAAAACTAAGCTCATCTCTTCCGGTTGTAGCTACCTTGTTGAGAACCCAAACTATTTCGCAAACACTCTGCTCGGCTGATTTGATCGCAAGATGATGACCCCAATTCTTCCTTCAAAATCCTTCGATTGTAGCTACCTTGTTGAGCGAACCCATTATTCTTCAATCCCTTAAGCACAACTGCATTTGATGAAGCAAAGAATTGTCAAAAACCCCTAAATCCCAATGATCTTGGAGGACAAAACCCTCAGATTTTATTCAAGAAAAACCCACAATTACTCAACCCGAACAAGATCGCAATCTTCTACTTTGGACGTTGTCAACACATGCTCCGCACCTTGATCGACAAAAATTATTATGTGTAGTTGTCAATAGATAAGTGAGAGGTTGAAGATGATAAGTACCTTGTGTATCTATTTCACCTTTCTTGTTGAAAACCAAATGATATAACTAAACAAGTATATATATGTTATCTAAGGTCAAGACCCAAACTAACAGATTGAAAAACAGTTTTTACGAGTGAACAGTCGACCTATGCAAGAGGGGACTCGACCTGAGCATTCTCGTAAGTGCCATATGACAGTGTATACAAGCCATGCATCGACCTATGCAAAAGGGTGACTCGACCTGAGCATTACCGAAAGTGCCATATGACAGTGTTCACGATCCACGCGCCGACCTATGCAGAAGGGTGACTCGACCTAAGTATTCTCGAAGGTGCCACATGACAGAATGCAAGATCCACACGTCGACCGCTTCAGGGGTATGCGTCGATTCGTAGTGCTTAAACATTGCTTCTAGGATGAGTCGACCACATAATTGACGTGAGCAAATCTGAGACTTCCCAAAGGAGCAACTTTTAATCACGCGTCGACCTAAGCTTTCTTTGAGTCGACTCACAACATATATTTCCAAAAATGCCAATTCTTGAAGAATTTTCTTGCTGCTTTGTCCATCAGATCATGTAGCAACATATCCAACATATAGTGGAAAGTTTTGACATCATTGAAACCCTTATTGAAGGAACCTTACCCTCACAATAAGGACATCACGAACATCCTCCTCGTAGGGTTGACTCTCAACACCCCCGAATATCACGGAGTCCTCTTGGTCCCGAAAAGACCGCATGCATATCCTCTTGACAATTCGGGGGAGTCCATCCAGGTTGGAGACCACGTGTTGGCCTCCACTACACACGTAGGACCTGACAGTCTCCATTTTGGGTATGCTTGTTCAGTCTAACGATTGGGACTTTGGCCCAGCGCTGTAGGCTATAATTACCCTCTCACTTGAGAGGGCCAAATATTCATTATTTCATACTCACTCTCATACTTGCTCGCGCTGCTCTGAATCTTACTTTAACATCAGAGTGTCTTACAGATACCCCCTACTTCACCTTCAACTTCAGATATAATCAAAAACAATAATAATCATTTTGTTGCCATTTCTTAAAAAAAAACATTTTATATAATTTAAATAATTTATCTATTTTCTCTCCAATTATTTTCCATCAAAATTCTCCTCCTTAATTCCTTCCGAACTATTAAAACAAAATCCTAAATCATTTAGATACAATAACTAATAAATTAGACATTTGCAAAATAAACTTACAACAAACAATCTATGTTTTAAACTTTAAAGTCTTCAACTTGTTTTCTATTTTCCATATTATCATATATATTATGAAATAATAAATTATAAATTAAATAGATAAGAGAGTAATTTTTAGAAGTAAAACTTAATATTTAATAATGATAATAGTAATTGAAGTAGTAAAGAAGTTATTTGACTTAGAAAGAACCTAACAGAAAAACGTTTCAGTTACACACCTCATATCCCACGTCTTTTCCCGCCATTTACTCGTTTTTTGAACACTGTAGAACACTCCACACTCTCATCACTCTCACATTCACAACGACGAACAACAACAACACTAAAAAAGAAGAATTCTAATCGCCATAACCCATTTCATATAAATAATCCAATTCACCAACTCAAAGCCATTCGAAGTTAGTTACAATTTCACTATTTCCAAAAATGTGTGTTCAAGAACCATCTTCTCCTTCTTCACCCGAACTAACTAACTCCGAACCTGTTAACTCCGAACCTCTCAACTCCGAACCTGTTAACTCCGAACCTCTCAACTCCGAACCTGTTAACTCCGAACCTCTCAACTCCGAACCTGTTAACTCCGAACCTCTCAACTCCGAAGCTCAACCACCACCCGAATCTGCTTCCGAGTCTCGCAAAAGAGCAATGCAAGAACACAACTCTCCCGAACCAAATCCCAAACCGAAACTTCACGGTGCTTTTTCTAGTTCTACTCCACGACAACCACCACCGCCACCACCGCCGTCGACGAACACTGAAGAATTCACAGACCCTTTCGTGGAGGATATGTTCAAGAATCTCCCGATGCCGTTGGAAGAACTCAACCGTCAAAATCCGTCTCGCTCCACTCTTCCACCACCGCCGCCAATCAGTGAGGATTTCGAGTTTCTTCCGGCGAGTATTTTCGATGATGAACCGGAACCGCTGAACATGATCTATCCTCTTCATGAGGGAAACTATCCGATTCTTGAACCTGGTAGCAAAGGCTGGACTCCTCTATATGCGAGCAACATTGATGAAAGAATCTCCTCTCGCGCGGATCCTATCGATACCGATGAAGCTATGTATGCAGATTACGTTAATCCTCGGGATTTTACTGAACCGAATCTTCACCGCCATAAAGTTTCTGCCGTCGTCTCTCCTTCCATCAGTTACGTTTCCGTTAATCATGACGGTTATGCTGACGTTCCAATTCCGACACATCGATCAAGACTTGTGGTACGTTATCATCATCATCATCATCATGTTTATCATTATTATTAATTATAATTATTTGTTTGTGATGATATTATTATTAATTAGTAATTTATTGATGCATGCATGAAGAACTAAATCGATTTCTTTTTGTGTGATTCGTTTTGAAGGGAGCTGGAATTGCGAATCTGAGAAATACTTGTTTTATGGCTGCGATTCTTCAGTGCTTAACACATACACGGCAATTATTTTTCGGTCTTCGTTATTGCTTACATGATACTTCACGTACGGGAATTTTTTTTCTTTATTTTGAGATTAAATAAGTTTCAAGATTTTGATTTATTTCAATAAGGAAGTTGAATTTGATTTTTCGTTTTCAGGTCATGATGAGAGTGGTTTCTGCGCTATTTGTGCTTTCCGTGACCACAATGACCAAGCGTTAGAAGAATCTCGAAACACAATTTATCCAACCGCGTTTCTTCAAAATGTGAACAGTATCCTTTTTCATTTTATTTTTTTTAGGGTTTTAATTGTAAAAATTCATCTATTTAATATTATTTGATTGTGGTGTGAATTGTGATCCATGACATATATGGTAACAGAATTTTCAACTACTTTTGTACCGCATGCCCAAGAGGACGCTCACGAGTTTTTGTTCTGCGCCTTGAATAAACTTAAAAATGCCTATCCAGAACAAGGTCTAAAAAACAATCTAATTGAACAAATATTTGGAGGCGAAACTCTTAGCAAAGTATGATGCTAATTGCTAAAATTGTTACTTTTTTGTTTTAGTTATTCATAGATGATTTTATTTTCTGATTTTGATGTTTGTTATTATTCAGCTTCGATGTCGCAGCTGTGGTTTCTCTTCTGATACCGTTGATCCAACATTTGACTTGGGTTTAGTGGTAGAAGACATGGAAACTGTTCAAAGGGCTCTGGATGCTTATATCATGGTAGAAAATATGGATGGGACTTTTAATTGTAGTGGCTGCAACCAAGAAGTATACATGGAGAAACAGCTTTTGATTGATACGGCACCAGAAGTTGCAGTACTACATTTGAAAAGGTTTAAAAAGGACAGAACCTCTTATGGAAAGATTGAAGATCATGTTTATTTCACTATGGAGTTGGATTTGGAGCCTTATACCTCTGCTAAAGGCAAGGAAAGTGTAAGTTCAGAATTCATTTTAGTCCTTCCTACATTTTTTTAAAGTTTTCCGCAGGTATTTCAAATTCAATTGTGTTACATCCAATTATGGTTTTAAATTGTGGTTTTGCAGTGGTTACACTCCAAACATTTATATTAGGCTGCAATTGCAGTTCAGACTGTAATAACTGTTCCAATTTCTCTATGCAAATTTGATGTTTTTTTGGGCTCATTTTTATGTAGCAGCCAAACTTGAAGTATGATCTATATGCGGTTGTTGTGCATAGCGGATCCACAGCTAATTCAGGGCATTACTTTAGCTATGTGCGTTCTGATGAAAAAGCATGGCATTTGATGGATGACTCTAAGGTAAAGTATCAATGGAAGTTTCTTCCTATAGTACAGCTTTCCCGTTATACATATTTATATAGGTTGTGTTTGAAAATAAAATGAGTCATTATATGATTCTTCCATTGGCTCTTACATTTTTTAATTAGAGCAAGTGTTTTTTGAAAAGATGTAAAATGCATACATAATTTAAATTTGCAAATGCAATTTACTACTATAAATTTGATGTTTATTTTTTTGTTTCAGAAGTTTATTTTGCAGATATATTGTGCCTATATAATGAATGTTTAATGTAGTTTTGTTATAAATAATTAGTTCAAATGTGAATTATTAATTTTCTGATAATTAATTCCTTTTCAGGTTTTTAGTGTTTCTGAAGAACATGTCCTGGCTCAACAGGCATACTTGCTGTTTTATGCAAAGCAAGGTACAGGCTGGTTCTCTAGTATTGTGAAAGATGAAGAGAGAGTTTTGAAATCAAAATCCATAGACAACACACAGGATTTTGGTTGTAGCCAAATGGATCATTATATTTTGTCGGAAGAAACTGATTACAACACACAGGATTTTGGTTGTAGCAAAATGGATCATTGTATTTTGTCGGAAGCACCTGATTACAAGACACGGGATTTTGGTTGTAGAGATATGGATTTTGGTTGTAAAGATATGGATTGTTATATTTTGTCAGAAGCAACAGATAATGATTCGCCATATGTAAATGATGACGATTTGATGCGGGCAAATGATTGCGATTCAACGCATGGAATTGATACTGATTCGCCCAATGGAAAAGAGAAGACTGCGAGTGACATGGAAGAAGAAGAATGTGATTCGGCGGGTGTAAATGATAAGGATTCCAAGGATGCAAATGAGAAGTCTGTGAGTGGCATGGATGGAGAAGAATGTGATTTGGCGGATGTAAATGATGATAAGGATTCCAAGGATGCAAATGAGAAGTCTGTGAGTGGCATGGATGGAGAAGAATGTGATTTGGCGGATGTAAATGATGATAAGGATTCCAAGCATGCAAATGATGATAAGGATTCCAAGCATGCAAATGATGATGAGGATTCCAAGGATGCAAATGAGAAGTCTTTGAGTGGCACGGATGGAGAAGAATGTGATTTGGCAGATGCAAATGATGATAAGGATTCCAAGGATGCAAATGATGATAAGGATTCCAAGGATGCAAATGATGATAAGGATTCCAAGAATGCAAATGAGAAGTCTATGAGTGGCACGGATGGAGAAGAATGTGATTTGGCAGATGCAAATGATGATAAGGATTCCAAGGATGCAAATGATGATAAGGATTCCAAGGATGCAAATGATGATAAGGATTCCAAGAATGCAAATGAGAAGTCTATGAGTGGCACGGATGGAGAAGAATGTGATTTGGCGGATGCAAATGATGATAATGTTTCCAAGGAATGCAAATGATGATAATGGTTCCAAGGAATGCAAATGAAAGGCTTGGGAATGACATGGATGAAGACGATGTGATTCCGCAATGCTAGACGCTTTACCTTGATCAATAGCAAGGGGCATGTTGAACAGAATTTCATGCAATGAGATTAGAGACTACTACTAGTATGGTTGGTTTTAAGGTTCCCCTTGATGTAAAAATTGTTGCATATCTCACTTTAACTGTTACATAAAAATTGTTTGTATTGATGAATATATGATTCCCCTTCATGTTAAAATTGTTGAATATCTCCTCTTACCTGATACATAAAAATTGTTTGGGTTGATGAGTATATGATTCTGGTACAGATTAATGAAACTCACAGTAGTCTTAAGTACTCCTTGTAATGAAGTTAAGGTCAAAGGTTGAAACTAAAACCTTTGATACTGAAAGATATATGGATAATGGTTTGTATGGATCTGCATTGACACATCAAATCTCACTATATATATGTATGTTGAATGTTTGTTTTGATAAATGTCGGGTTTTTGTGAAATTGCCATGAAATAGCTTGGCTGCTGACAAGTTCTGGTTATTTTGATGTTCATCACGGTCTTCGATCTAATGTGAAGAATGCTTTCTGTGCACAAGCATTTTGACTGCTCAAATATTCAGGTCCACAACCCTCTCTTTTGTCATAAGATACCACTGAATGATTGTTTACTTTTCTGTCTGATTTAAACCAATTTATCTACAATAATCTGCTGAATTGCTTCTATGTTGTGCTTGATTTCATTTGTGTTTCTTTGATTGGTGATAGACTATAATGATTTGATGGAAATAGACATTAATGTTGTGAACCTGTTGAAATTAAAATGGCTAAATATATATTGGGACATGAAGTTTAATGTGTCAATGTGGATCCAAACATACCATTAGTTGCTGCAGCTGCAGATAACTTAAAATCGTGATGCTGCAGTTGAAATCACAATTATAGGCCCCCTTTTAAAACATGTGGAATTCACGTGAATTCTAATCAGGATAGTGTAGTTCTACTTAGAATTTAAATTTTTATAGTGTTTCTAACCACTTAGTACACTATCTTAGTTAGAATTCATGTGAGTACCACATGTTTATATATGCTCCAACAATTTTTGTTTTGGAAGTGTTTTATGAACACACTTGTGAATGTCTTGACAGTAGCTCGGCTATTTTTGCTTTTCATGGGTATATCTCATACTCCTTGTTTTAGCTTATTTATTAAACAATATATTTCACAGGGCTTATAAAAATTATCCTCCATAAAAATACCCAAATTTAAAAATGTCATTGGATCTTGGAGAGGAAAAAGCTTTATATCATTGGTCATCTAAAAATTTTAATTTTCTTTTAGAATGGTTAGTTCAGCGAATCATTGATTTTTGGTTAAAGCGTGTTTATATTTTACAAGGATAGTTAATTATAGGAAGTACAATCTATATATTCAAACCCAATTCAACATATTATGTTATCATCTCTGCATGCAAACAAAAAGATTACACCACAAAATCGAAAACAAAACAATAATTTCTATTTTGGTATAACTAAAGTATCGATAACATATTTTGGCCTAAATTTTCATTTCAATTTCTCTAATAATTTAGCACCATGCTGGATTAATTCCTCAGTCCTTTCCATACGTGCGAGTAACTGATAATCAATATAATTCTCAATGCAACATATTTTAGAATTGTTACTAAAAGATTCCTGTTCATGTTTTTTTTGGTTGACAAGAGATTCCTGTTCATGTTAATCTCACGTAATAACTCCGATTGGCAGCATTATGGTTAATCATGTCGGCATAAAGTAACAAGTAAATACATTAGCAATAAAAGATAAATTAGTTAATTCAATTCTTCCAAAAAAAGTAAGCTAATTGAAATTCAAGAATTTTTATGAAATAAACGAAAATATTCTTGCTTCATTAATTATGATTGGTCCCCATTTTAAAAATCTTAACATGCTTCGAAGCAAGTTTTTTCAATCTTTAACTTAAAAATCTAATCTTCTCTACCATTAGATTTTGACTAACTAGTTTGCAACTTTTTTCCCTTTATTTATTGTTGACTATGTTGAGAGAAAATCTACAAAGGTAACAGAATAGTTTAATAACACAATCTCTTTCAAATATTAAATATACAGATAATTAATAAAATACACAAAACAATACAACACACTTTTAGCGTGAAAAAATCTCCGTTAACTAAGAGTAAAAATTATGAGACCCGTAAGCCACTTAATATCTCCATAATAATCAACAATAGATACAAGTAAGCTTCCCTCTAACACTAGTTAGAAGCATACATAAATATCATGAAGATATACAATCAATCTTGGAATACAACAAGAATTAAGAGAGACAAACAACCCAAAATCATCAAGAAATTCACACCTCACAGATGAACTCAGCAGACAAATTTAGAAAGCTCAGAATTTGTTCTCCATTGATCAAAATATACTCTTGTGAGTCATGAACATTGTGACAAAATTTTAGGACAATTAAATGGTTGAATTTTACGCAAGCTCCGATCTCGTGGGACTAATATGTGTTGAAATGAGGCTGCAAAATTTTCATTCTTCTCTCTACTTTTTGTTGTTGTTGTTTCTCACACAATGAATAATTGACCTAATTCTGTTTGTTAGATAATAAAAAATGCTTACAGACATATGGGATACTAACCCACATTCATTTGTGTCACTTCATATAGGAGGGATAACCCAACAAAGTCCCCGACTGACTAGTTAGAGGGTAACACCAATCCGACTTCCATACGATAAAACTCAAACTTCCCTTAGACAACACATTCATCATTGGTGTGAACCTTCTCAAGCTCCATCAACTTGGAAACTAATACAACACGAATTTAATGATAACGAACATCAATATGCTTCGATCTCGAGTGAAAGGAGGAATTCTTTGATAAGTGAATGCCACTTCGATTATCACAAAACAATACATACTTTTCTTGTTTCACATAGGCTTCTTGCATCCCAAGGTTAGCTTCAAATTCGACGAGCCACACAAATATCTCATCACCCACTTCACGGCCTCCGAATAATATTTTCCCGAATTTGAGAGATAATGACTCACCATTCCCATGATATGAGCAATACCGGGTGTAACACCCCACTTTTCCACAAGAATAATTATAATATAATATACGAAAATACATCAGAGTACACAAGTAGGATATCACATATTTCAAAAAATCATAAAATTTCAAATTATTTTATTACTTCATTTCTCATAAAAGAATTATTTACACAACGAAAATATCCAATTATTCACTCTCATAGCACTACGACTTTAATAACAACACTCTCCACAAAACTCGTGGTTCAACATAAATTTGAAGTTAAAATATGTAACAAATACGAAAAATACAAAGCATAAACAAATTCCCATAATATCCAGTATTACGCATCAGAGCGATTCCCAAGACTCGATCAGACAACTCATACTCCAAGCACTACTCAAGTACCTGATTATCTGTACTCCCGGAGGAGCAAAGACACAATAACAAAAAAGAGGTAAGAATTACATTCAATAAGTAACGGTGAATATCACATGTTAAGGAGTAGTAATGTCACACAATTCAAATAACTCACATTTCACCCAAATACTTCACAATTCATTCACCATTCATATAACACCACATCAAATCAAGATAGTGTAATGCAATACAACCGACAACAACTCAATGCATGTGGTACCAACAGGACATAAGCCCACAAGATAATACCATATAGGACAACAACATGGCATAAGCCCTCGACATAACGCTATTATAGGCCAACAACAGGGCATAAGTCCTCACCAATGTATGCATGCAACACAAACATACAACAACATAAATATACAACTACATGGCATAAGCCCACAACATCTTGCCAATAAAGGCCACCAACAGAGCATAAGACCTCACCATACATGCAACAATATCAATAGCAAATAGTAACAACATACTTGCATGCATCCAACAATGCAACATAATTGTATCGCACTTCATCAAATATTACAACACAATTTCAACAATATAGAGTCATAGTATCACAATCAACTATGCATATTATCAATCCATCATGAGTATTCAACAACAACAACAATATTACACATCATAACATCATAGTATCACAACATAGTATGATAGCATCACAACAACTAAGCATATTAGCAATTCCTCATGTATATTCGACAACAACAACACTACAACAACATAACTTCATAGCATCAGAACAACTAAACATGTTATCAATTATCATGTATATTCGATAAAAAAAACATTTACAATAACATAACATCATAAGAAATTCCTTCATACATCATTCGTATAACAACCACAAGTTAGGTCACATCACTCAACATCAACACCATACAAAATTCCCACTAAATTCTACGTTTCAACACAATTCCCATTATTACAAACCTTAATATATCCATCTAAGTCATACTAGTCATTACAAACTAAGAGAAATTACATTGCACGCAAAAACGGGAAAGAAATCACAAAAACAGACAAAACTGCACCTCAGTCTGTTCATACACTTATAGCCCTGCCTCATACGCGTATGGCTCACTTTATCGCCCCACTGCCTGCATACCATACGCGTATGACTCACTTTCTCACCCCACTTCCCGTGTACCATACGCATATGGCTCACTTTCTCGCCCCACTCCTTGCGTACCATACACGTATGGCCAAAATAGCCAGACTCCATATGCATATCATACGCATACCACCAGAGGGAAAGTTCCCCCAAAACTTCTCCAAAACTTCCCATACGCGTAATGTCTAGCCCATACGCGTATGGCCTTCCTCTCATACACGTATCATACGCGTTCCAGCTGAAAATCATGTTGGCTTAGGGATAGGGTACGTACCATACGCGTATGGTCTCCCTCATACTCGTATAATAATAATAATAATATTTATAACATTAATAATGATAATAAAATTAGTAGAAAATACACCATTTAACCAACAATAATATTTTG